CCCAATTTGGTCTGGGCTCGAGGTGGGCTTAATAGCCGGCGACTACTGTATATGTAAAGCAGTTCAAACAGCCACGAAAATCGATCGGTGCAATCGGTTAACACATGGGCGAATGGTCGTTCACATTTATCTGACGCGAACAGGAGATTCGACTACACGCTCTGACGATGAAAGCGAGCGAGCTTTTGAAACGTCAGCAAGAAAACACTTCGGTCCCAGAAATTGCCTCTACTTCTTCCTCTTCCGGAGATGATGTAAGGAATATTTTATCTGGACCTCGAATTTTTTCGCATATTAATATATGCATATATATTTCAAGGGTTGCATGCAAGCAATGCCCTTCAGGACCCTATTAATGTAAAGTAAATCATATAATTGTTACAGTTAATATGAAGTTGTAGCAAAATGTGGTAGCATGACACACACATTCGGATGAGTAGTCGCGGAACAACGCGAACCAGTATGTGAAAATGGTCTAGAGCCAGGAAAATAGTCTGCAATGCTGGCAATACGAAATAATATTGTGATAGTCGCCTTTTTTTCAAATAAAATGACCTCAAGTCTTCCTTTAGTCCCTATTTCTCCGCCTGTCAGGAATCGGATTTCAATAATCCATTTGTTTCACCTGTGAAACACCGAGGCCTCGATGGGATTCGGACCCAGACCTATTGACAGAGTTAGCGTCTGGGTACCATGCCTCAACCGTCAATTTTTCAGCCTTTGAGGCTCCCCGACCTACGATGGTCGTTCCCTGAATATCGAAGTCGTGGACAGTCTCTCCGATATGTGTTGCAAGCTAAGAGTTAGGGTCTAGTTTTCGGGCCGCGGCTTTGTTTTCCTGTAGGTGGGTCTGCAAGTTGCGTCGTTTCCCCAACGTTATTACAGTCTCCATCGTTGTAACGTTTCTTGTACTGCAGAGGTTTCAGTAAGGGGGCAGTTTGTCTTAAGGTTGCATCACTCGGCGGTGTATTTTCGTCTGAGATCGATGGGGTACGCCTACTCCAGCGGGTGTTAACAGTCGAGAGACTGCGTCGGAGACTCATTTTACGTAGGGTATGACCCTCCAGACTTTGGGTTGCCAACACGTACAGCCTCAACTTTACACTTGCTGATCTATGAATTAAATTCACGCTTCGACAAAGGGCAGCCGGCCCAGCTGTCCGAAACGTCAGCAAACATACAAATTTATTCCGGTGAGCAGAAGATGGACTCTAATTCTTTTCTCTGAATTCTGACTAACTAAAATTTGAGAATGTTCACTTTATGCCATTGACTGTCGTATAGAGATGTCATTATAGCCATGCCGGCTAGTAAACAATACCCAGTCGACCCAGTTCACCCACCTCGCCCTTTCTTTTTCGAACACAGAATCCTCCGGTCATCGCTGGACGGCTGGTCAACTCCAAAACTTTGCAGCGCCAAAGTTCCAAGGGCTCCTCTGGCAGTGACCAGACTAGTGCGGTGGC